TTTCTTGCAAGATCGATTTGTGTCCATCTAGTGTTGACACTTAGCTTTAATTTAGGAATAATGTGTTTGTTTAGCATAAGTACCAACACTAGTTGATCCTATTGATGACAAAATTGATTTTTTTATTTATTTATATATATATATATATATATATATGAATTCTGTTCTTCGTGAATCTTATTGGTGTTATGTCTGTAGTATATTTCACATGTTACCGTAAGTTGAGTTGAGAATGATTTAGGACGCTTACATGTTGTTTCAACCTTAGGAAATCATATATGGGTTGATTTTAAGTTAAATGCAATTTGTTCTACATTTTCTTGCTAATTTTAGTAGATCATCGGTTGTATTATGTCTTTTTTAACTAGCATGACTTGATGTTTGGATGTAGTGGACTCAATCATGCTTGATTTGCTCATTTTCAACTTTGTCCATTTGTTTATCACAGAGATAGTATAATCTTCAAATAAGCTCAAAGATTTAGGAATTTTCTATTACATTTTTGGCCTAAGACCATGTGTTGTGCTTGATACTCCTAGATAATAATATAATATGGTTGGTTTGTTAAATTGATTCCCTTAATTTAATAATGCATGTTCTACTTCTCTGTTATTGTTTAACTTATTAAATTTGCTTTGTGAGTGGCACCACTCATGAAAGAAAATAAAAATAAAAATTAAGACTTTCTTCCTTATAATTTAGTCCTATGTGACATGTTTTGTTTTTATGACTTACGGTGTGCAACAGTAGTATAGAAACTTCCTTTTTTTTTTAATAATCTAATGCTATTTATTTCATGCTGCTTATATTGATTCAGTATATTGGCTCTTATCTATAAAAAATTTTTTAGTGTACATGTGATCCCGTATGAGTTCTCAATGGACTCTTTACCTCTTTACAATTGAGTTGGGCCATGGAAGCCCAGCAATCCTCCCGTCATCGAGTTGACCTCATCATTCCAAGAACTGAATGCTGATTTAAAAGGCTGGAAATCGAAAATACGGGAGCCAAAACACACTGATATATAGTGTGATACATCGATATACATAAGTTGTATACGATGTATATTACATCGAGGATGGGCTAAAGGAGCCCCAAAAATTTCAGCTTTGTGTTTTTGTAATTATTGAGCCAATGGCCCATTTATTTTTATTATTATTTTGTTAGTTTAGGACAGGTGAAAATTGGGCCTAAGGCCCAAAGAGAAAGTCAATTGTTTATGTTTAGTTCTAGGATATGTACAAAATGGGTCAAGGGCCCAAAGTTGAATTTAGGTCCTCGTATCGGCCCAGGCGAACAGAAACCGGACTTGGGACGATATCTTCTTTTCTTTGTTATTTAATTGCTCTTGCATAGTTATTTGTTTATTTAATTTTAAGATTTTTCCTTAAATCGATTCCCCAAAGGAAAACCATTTTGAATTAATCACTTATATTTTTCTAAAGATGGAATAAATACTTATTTTTCTACTTAAATTGCTTTGCAAAGTTTTACTTAAATATTATCCTCATAGTATTTCCTCTAATTAATCAAGCATGGCTTTTCTTTAAAATATTTTAGCCAAATAGTTAATTACCGAATAACCGCATGTTAGCGGACATTTTGGGTGCTTTCAAACCCTTTCCGAAATGTTAATATGAACCCTGAACTCCTTTAAATATTTTCATTAGGTTTTCTATTTTAAATCTTTTTGAAAAAATAGTTTTCTTAATTTTACTTTTAAAATTAAGTGGCGACTCTTAAAACTAGTCGTTTTTTGTTTTTTTTTGTTTTTTAAATAAAACATTGTAATTTAATTTTTGTATTTGAAGAAAACAAATTGGTCATCTATAATAAGTTTAACAAGAAAATTAGTGATACATAAATAAATTTGACCATCAAAATAAT